CAGGGACTGTCTGGCTTCCTTCCACTGCTACCGGCAGCCAAGCCCGCAGCAGCTCAGCTGTTTTCCCAGGCATCAGCTCTTGCCTGCTCACCGAGGCCACCCTTGAGTCTCCTTCTGGCTCGTCTCTCGGGGGGGAGGCAGGGGTGGGCATTGGTGTTCAGATCCCAGCTAGACCCCTGGCAGGCCCAGGAGCTTTTAGAGCCACCGGCCAGGCTTCTCTCCAGCCTGAGGAACACCATATGACGTGCACTGAAAACTCTGAGCTTCACAGCCAGCAGCTCACGGAATCCTCCGTCACAAGCCTGCCACTCTCACTAGTACCCCCGTTTCACATCTGGGGAGACTGAGGCTCAGGCAGACGAAGGACTTTCCCTCGGCTTACATGAGCTCATTCAGAGCCACGGTTCAAGCCCCAGGACTGTCTCATTCCAAAGCCCCTCCACCAACAGCTGCACCACTAAGCGGTCGATGTGAGGCCTGAATGAAGGAACAGGTGTGCGAGCCTCCAGCCTAGCGCTCAGCATGGGGTAAGCGCAGCCCGCAGATTCTCTCTCTGCTCTGCCCGCCCCTATTCCCCTCCCCAGATCCCATCCAGCCGCCTGCCCGATCGATCGGAATGTTTTCTGCCTGATGCTTCCACCTTACACTGGCTCCACCTGAAGAATGGGAGAATTTAGAGAAGGAGGTAACCCAGAGGCCAATGTTGGTGCTAAACTCATTCTGGGAGATGTCAGGAATCCACTGCTGCCTTCAGAAAGCAGTTACCCTGCCCGTTACTGCCTCAGGGAGGCCCTCGGGCAAAGGCAGTGAGATCTGGAGCATGGTCAGTGGTGCAAACTGTGGAGAGCAGTCTGCTGCAGGTACCGAGCGAGGGGCCTGGGTCCTGCAGGGGCCGGAAAGGTAACACAGGATTCCACAGCCTCTGCCCACACTGATAAAGGGCTCTGGAGAAAAAGGAAACAAAGGAAATACCTGTTTCACCCTGTTTGCCCATTTCTGTGGTGTAAATACACCCCCCATGTCAATTTCAAGCTACAGGCTTGAGGTCGCAGAATGTGGAACTGGGACGCGATGCAGCCAGCGTCTCTACCGCCCCAGCAGGTGGACCCGGCCTTCTCCACCTGTCCCTGTCCTCCAGCCCACCAAGCTCCTGCAGCTTCTTCAGGGACACTATGTCCCTTCCCAGGACAGGGCTCGTCCTGCAGCCTGGAAAGCGGCCCCCACCTCTGGCCTTCGCACCTTTCAACCCTCCATCCCTCAGGCCTCAGTTCCAACGGCGCTTTACAGGAAGCCTTCCTCGGCTCACAGCCTTGGTCAGATGATCTTCAGTATATGTGCTCTTCGAACGGTGCTCTGTCCTCTCTGGCCCTGACGTCAGACTTTAGCTAGTATGGGGGTGTGTTGTTATTAATATTTCTCTCCCTCAGATGAGAGCAGACCTTGCCAAGGTGTCAATGGGGTCTAGCACAGTGCCTGGCATAGGGTAGGTGTGCTCTGAGTACCTGCTGGGCCCTGGTGGATGAGTAGGAGTTTTCAAGGCAGGAAGGGAAGGAGAGGGGAACAGCATGGGCCCAGGCAAGAAGTCCGTGTCTGCAGGGTGTGTTCAGGAAACCCGAGAAAGCAGCTGGTGTGGTGTGGCTGGCACTTCTTGCCAACAGGCAAGGAAGGGGGACTGGGTCGGGCTGGGTGTCGGTGGTGTCGTTCTCGCCAACCATGTTTCTCAGCCAAGAAAACCAAAGCTGGAGAGGTAGGAATCGGGGGATTTGGGAGAAGTCAGGGCTGGCCAGGGTGTCCTTCCACCCATGCCCTTTTCAGAGGAGGATGCTGGGGGATCCTTCCCACACTCCATGGCTCTAATGTTCTCCTCTGAGCCAAGGACACTAGGCGTCGAGACCCGCCTTGCCAATCCAAAAGGGATCCCAGCTGGAGAACTGAAAGAAATCAGCCACAACCTAACAGAAATCAGGCAACAAAAAACAGACTAGAATGCTGGCTCACAGTGTGAACTCTGGCACTGGACTCCCTGAATTTGAATCCCAGGTTCGGAACTGACTATTGGGTTTGCAGACCTTAGACAAATTGCTTAATCTGTGTTATCCTGCTTCCTCATCTGTCGAATGGGAAGAACAACAGAATTCAACTCCTTGGGGCTGGGTCTTAAAAGAGATGGTAAGTGTTAAAAAGCACTTGGTACAGTGCTGGGCATATAGTAGGTGCTCAGTGTGTGCCTTCCCTCCCTGAGCACTGTTCTTCCTCCTTTCTCCCTCCCAGGAGGAGAACCAGTCCCTGCCAACCCTCCTGCGAGGGTGGGTGGTTGGTGAGATAATGATCTTATCATACTTCTTGCCTCTTGGAAGGCAGGTGCTGGAGAAAAACCAAGTCCGCTTTGGTTTTTCTCCCTGTTCCTTCACATTCCTCCCCAAGATAAATTTAGCCAGCCTTCGCTTTGAACACAGTGCCCAGGGTGCTGACTTTTTGTTCTCTGAGTCGATGTGAGAGCATTCTTCATGGCTGCAGCCCCAGGCTGGAATGCAGACTTCAGGAGCACAGTCCTAGCCCCTGCCCTGCCCCAAACACCTGTGACAGTCTCACCACCACCCCCGACCCTCCCGGTCCCTGAGGACATCGGGTGCCACATCTCCCAGACAGGGAACCTGAGTTCTCCAGTGACATGAACAGAACGCAGAATACAGAAGGGCTTGGAGATCTGGTTCCTTTCCAGCCACCCGGAGCTCAGAGGCAGCGTTCAGGGTTAAGAGCAGAGCCTGGATTCCATCTCCGGCCAGTTACCTTCTCCTCCCTCTCCCCACCTGTAGAATGGGTCCCCACTGGGTCTGGGAAGCCCTCTGCTGCTGCCACCCAGACCATAACCTACCACAGCTTTAAAGTTGGCCCATCCCCTCTCCTCTCCCCTTGTCCTCCAGCTCTTCGGTTCTTTGGCTTAGGTAGTTGGGTTTCCTTCGGTCTTCTTCCTGGGGCCCATTTTTACTCTGGGACTCGGTCTCAAGACGATCATCCTGCCTTCTCTACCTCCCTCTTTGGCTGCAATGTCTATAGGACACACCTTCCCAGGTCGGGCACCCCGGGGGGACACTTTCCCTCACTGACTAGCTTTCAGGCTTACTCTTCAGCCCGGGACAGCAGGTGCACCGTGTGGGCATACATGCTCCAGCCATGCCCAGGCACAGGCAGGCAGGAAAACATGTAGCCCGACTCCTTCCCGACCCTGTTAAACTCTTCTTCTGTTCCGACCCTCCAATGGCCTGTGGATGCCTCCCACTGCGGAGCCCACCGGGAACCGGAGGGCAGGGAGCTTGAGGGAGGCAGGATCTGCAGACCAGGCTCCCAGACCCTGCAGAGAAGGGCAGGCAGAGAATGGGTGTGGAGGGACAGCCAGAATACCAGGATCGCGACAGTGCCTGTCTTAAAGGGTGGGTCTTGGTGTTTACCCCTCTCACTAACAGACCCACTGAGGGGTGCATGAGTACCCCCATGTCATAGACATGAACAGGGATACTGTTCTGAGTCACATGAAAGGGGTGGAACCAGGATTTAGACTCCTTTCTTCCTGGCTGCAGAGTTCTGCTCAGCCAGAGCAGACAGTGGCTGACGTTGTATGAGTTTCGATGACTCTTCTCCAAAATGACCTTGCTCCCATGCCTGTGACCCCTCTGCTGTCTGTGCCCTTGAGCCGAGCATTTCCCTCTCCCTGCCCGAATGCAAATAGCCCTGGGAGGGCTGTTACAGTCACGGACACCTGCGGGGAAGGAGACTCCTCTCTCTGTGGGAGAGGCCTGGGAATCCGGGCATCATCGGAAACACTGAAGGGGAGACAGCTGGCACCAAATAAGAGCCATGTCTTATGTCAACAGAGTTATGGGGCTTTCCGAGCCCTTTCACCCCATCATCTCACTTAACCCTTGCCGTGCTTCTGGGATCCTGGCGTCAGGAGCCTGTGTCGCCGCTGCGGGTCCATTGTAGTCCCAAGACATTACACTTCGCTGATTAGTCTAGAGTTTTGCCTATGATGGGCGGGGCCGTAAGGGGCGTGCACTGGCTTCAGGCAGACACTATTTGCACTCCTAGTGCTTGTGAAGCCACAGGCAGTCCCTTCCCCACCCCTTCCCCGGACATCTTCACAGTGAGGTGCTCATGCCCCCACTTTGAAGATGATCATTCTTACCTGTCCCCCGCACGGCTCCTGGCACCCAGCAGTCCAGCCAGAGAAGGGGTAGAGGATACAATCTTGGGCAACTCTAGCATTAGTCTCAGCCCCTGGGTGACCCTGGACTAGTCTCTTAACCTCCTCAGAGCCTCGCTTGAAAAATAGAGCAATCACATCCCTATCCCGCAAGGCTTTTAAAAACCGCTCTATAAATATATTTCTTCAACAATAATAACAGCCAACAGCAGTAAGCATTCCCTGGGTGCTTACTGTGTTCCAGGCACTGTTCTAGACCCCTGGGGTGTGTGCTTTCACTCAATTCTCACAGCACCCCTGTGAAGCAGGACTTCCATATTATTCCCAGTCATAAAAGCAGAAACTGAATCTCAGAGAGGTTTAGTTACTGGCCCAAGGTTGCACAACTGGTAAGTGGCAGAGCCAGGCTTTGAACCCAAGTACGCTGAGAAGCCTGTGGGGAGGGGACCATCTGCAGTGAGTAAAGCCCAGGGATACCCAAACAAATAAAACCGAAGAAGCCTGGAGTCCAGCAAGACTCAGACTTTTGTACACACCACAATCATCTAGGGAAATTACTTAAAAGACAGAGTCCTGGGCCCCAGGCACAGAGATGCAGGTGGGGCTGGGAAGCTGCCTTGGTATCAAGGCCCCAGGATGACTACGCAGAGGGTCAGCTAACTACACAGGGAGGACCGTGGCTGGTGTCCAGCAAACCACTGGTGAGATGCTCAGTGAGTGAGAGCTGTAGGCTCCAGAGGACCCCGACGCTTCAGGGAGGAGCCCACAGTGGGACCCACCTTCCACCTCTGGTTTCCAGGTTTGCCAAGTACTACAAGATGGAGAATGGCAGTGAGTACCGCACACTCCTCAAGGCTTTCGGCATCCGCTTTGACGTGCTGGTGTATGGGAATGTGAGTCCTTGTGCCGGGCAGATGGGGGGAGGACAGGGAAGGAAACCCAGACCAGTCTTGGGCCCTCAAGAGCCTCCTCCCGGGGTGGGGGGCAGGGTCCTGCCACTGACCAGCTCTGAGAGCATCCGTGAGTCACATCTGTAGTCTCTTCACTGCTACGGTCAAGGGTTGGGGCCTCCTGGTCGACCAAGAGCCCTCTGCTCCACCATCTCTCTGGCTGGGAGTCCTCCTTCGGCCTCAAGCCTCAGGACCTCGTGCTGGGCTCTCTGCCCACCCGCTTTGGTCTCTTCTCTTGCAGGCTGGCAAGTTTAACATCATCCCCACCATCATCAGCTCTGTGGCCGCCTTCACCTCCGTGGGAGTGGTGAGTTCAGCCCCTTTAGCCTCAGACAGGAGGCCCGTCAAGGTGGGGCTCCAGGTGGGGGTCGGGGTGGGGGAGTGGCCCAGGTATGATGCCCTGCTTCTGCCTAGAATGGAAAGTCCAACCTCTGGCCAGGTGCCTCAATCTCCCTCATCGCCTCCCTGCTGGAACATCTCCAGTCACAGAGAGCTCACTACCTCCCGCAGCAGCCTCCCCGACTGCGGGAGTTTCCACCTGGTACCAAGTTCCTGCTCCCCCACCGTGCAGGTGAAGGAGGAGACTCCAGGGTTCCACAGACCAAAGGAACCGAGCCCTGCTCCCAGGGACTTCTACCCCCTCACCCTCTGCTTCTCCCACCAAGTCCTCTCTCTGCATCTTGGTCTGCGGTCACTGCCAAGTGCTGAGAGGTGGGTGAAGGAGGCATCCTGCAAAGCCCCCCCCCCGGGACGTTTTTCCAAGTGGAAACATCAGTCAGGTGTCTTTGGAGGACTCGCCCAACCCTTGGCCTGCTGTCTGCCTGAGGGCAGTCCTCCCCACTGCCCAACCGCTCAGCGGCTGCTGGAGCCTGTGCTTCCTGCCACACTGAGCCCGCCCTGCCTCTCCTCCAGGGGACTGTGCTCTGTGACATCATCCTGCTCAACTTCCTCAAGGGGGCTGACCAGTACAAAGCCAAGAAGTTTGAGGAGGTGAGCTGGAGGGGAGGGGTGGGGAGGCATGAGAGGTAGAGAGACAGTGCAGGGACTAGCTGGGCACCCCTAGACCCCAGGGACTCTCAGTGGCTCCCCCTTCTGGGGGCTTCTTAAGGGGATTCATGAGGCCTCAGCGCAAACTGGGGGTCCCAAGGAGAGGGAGTTGGCCAAGAATGGGCTCTGCAGGGCGGTCTGTGGGTCATCACTGCTGACAGCCCGATCCACTCACTGTCCCCTCTCCATTTCTGAGGCAGGACAAATTCTGCCATGGGTTAGCTCAGGTTTCGGTTGGCCCATGAGGTTCGTGGTTGTTCAGACTGCTGGCATCACACAGTCTTGATGGAGCTCCCTGATAACGGGGCCCTGAGCCTCCACTGCCACTTCTGCCAAGCAGAGTCCCATGGCAGGGGGAGTCTTGCCCACAGCTAGAGCACGATAACACCAGCGCTTTGCCTGCAGGTGGACGAGATGATGCTGAAGGTCACTGCCTCGGCCAACCCAGAGTGCTCCAGCGACCAGACCACCGAGGAGAAGCAGTCCACAGATTCAGGGGCCTACTCCATTGGCCACTAAGGCCTCTGCCAGGGCCCCAAGCTCATCCATGGGCTCCAGGCCTCCCGATAGGGCACCCCACCTGGGCAAGGAGGGATGGAAAGGGAAGGGGCTTTCATTTCTGCTGCTCACCCCAGGAAGCCATGCTGGACCCAGGGGTCTGGGCCTCCCAGTGTTCTGGCAGAGAGGTAGTACCCCCTGCTAAGACCTCCATCTCCCTTCACCCCTTGCCTTGCCCCTGTCTGCCTCCCAGGACCCCCAGGGCAGCAGCCCTTGAGTTGTCCCCCTTCTGAAGAGTAGAGAGCATAATAGTAATAGCAAGTGGCCACAAGGCATTGCCAAATGCCGGGCAGCGTCACACACATTATCTCATTTAACCCTTAGAGTCATCCTATGAGGTAGTTATTAGTTTCCCTGTTTTGAATGTACACTGAGGCCCCGAGAGACTGAGTCATTTGCCCAAGTCCACACAGCCAAGAAGCAAGAGGACTGGGATTTGAACCCAGATCGAACTCCATCACCCATACCCCACAAGAGAAGGGTGAACTCCCAGGGGGTGGCCGCCCCTGCTGCTTCAGCCTCCCCCATGGTGACCAGGATTAGGTTTCGCTTAATGAAGAGTGAGCCCCATGCTTTCAGCAGGAACTCAGGCCCTGGTGTAGGGAAGACCAGTTAGACAGGGATGCGGGTGGACCTGACTTGGGTGGATCCTCAGTTCAGAAGGAAACAGGAGGCATGACTTAGCTCTGTACCCAGCCATGGGTCTCTCTCTGGGACCCCCACATAATCCCACACATCGGGACACCCCCCCCCAGCAGTGGAATTAGGCCCCCCACAGGGTGGGGCATGATTCCCCTGACCCAGGCCCTTGTCTCAGCGGGCCGTGCTCCTTTATGACGCTGGTGAACATGCTCCAGGGAGGCCCGAGGCCCTGGGAGCAGCGGCCAGCCAGGCTGCCCCCCCACAGGGTCCTAATGGGCAGTCAGCCTTCAAAGGTTAGAACCTCTCTTGTCCCTCTCCCCTGTTTACAGATGAGCAGACTGAGGCCAGAGAGGGGAAATGACTTGGGTCACACAGTTAGTGGCCAAATGAGAACCCAGGTGTCTTGGCAAGAACAAGGGGCCAGAGAGGCCACTGGGGGATCCTCTAGTCCACTCACACCTCTGTCAGCCTGGCGCCCCCTCCCCTTGCTGGGCTCTCCCCCTGTGAGAGGCAGAGCTCAGGAGCAGACCCAGGTCTTTGGAAGCCTGAAGCATATACAGTTTGGGGCATCATCTCAAAATAATACAAAATTAGGTATTAGAAGGGGCTCATGCATGAGGGCGGCCCTGAGGGATGAGTTTCATTAGCCCCACAGTCCATCACTTCTGAAAAGTTGGAGTGCAGGCATGACCATGTGGCCGGAGCTGCAAGGACATGCCAGGAGGTGGAGGGCTGCTCCCTCTGCAGAAGGTGCAGGGAGATGGCAGGAAGGGGCAGGGCAGCTTTGGGAGTCATTTGGAAGGGACAACTTTGGGAGCAGTGGGCACTTGCAAAGGCCTGACCCCAGTGATTCCCCCCTCCGGGGAAGAAGGGGTCAGATTCCATCACGAGAGGCCCGTCACCCCTTCCCTGCTCAGCCTTCGCCCCCACCGCATCCTCAGGCTGGTGGGATCGCTCTTCCCCGGGGTAGCCTCGAGCATCAGGCAATGTCCAGAGATCTGACCAGCAGAGACGTCAGTGGAGGCCTCATGCTGCACCCACGAGACCCACAGGCATCCCAGCAGGAGTCGCAGGCGTGTTCCCTGCAGAGGAGACCGAGGCAACCGTGTCCTCTTCCTCTGGACGGGTGTGGTCCTCCTGCGTGTGGGGCAGCCACTCCGCCTGGCCTGCCAGCAAGTGTGTGAACTCTGTACAGCGGGCCTGCCGTGCGAGCCACAGGAACCTGAGCCACAGGAACCTGAGCCGCAGCCTCTGGGTGCCAGATTGGCTGGGCCCTGCTGCATCGTGGCGGACTTGGCACGGGCCCCAACCTGACCACACGCCAACCCTGCTGGGGTTGCCAGGGCTTGTCACTAATCCTGCTGGATAGAAAAAGAAATCTGGAATCCATGGAAGTTTGAACCAGAGCACATACTCAGTCCTAGCAGTCATTGTGTCTGTAATTACTCAGCATAAAAGCTAACATTTAGAGATAACTCACCACGGCTGAGCATTGGGCTGGGTGCACGACAGGGGTCTCCTACTGTGACCCTCCTTTAATAGCAGGGGACTGTGGCTTGGTAAGGGGAAGAGACTGAGCCGGCAGAGCTGGGCCCCCAGCCCCAAGCTTTATGGCTCCAGAGTCTACTATCTTGACTTCTAGGCCACGGCTGTCTGAGAAAAACCAGGACACCCGTGGGCCCCTTCTTTTCTGTATGTGTTGAGCTAAACCAAGTGTTTAGGCAGCAGTACCAAGAAATCTGCAGAACCTCAAGGTTTCATATCACAGAGTGGGTCAGACAGCCCCCTCCCTCCACCTGGTGGCTATGTCATCCGAGACACGTGGAGGCCAGGTCACAGGGCAGGGAAAGGGGGATGCGAGGCTTGCAGACCCCGGGAAGTTCAGGCCCCGAAGAGCTTACGGCACGTCCAACCCCACCACACTGGCCAGGCTGCAGCCACAAGGAAGACTGGGAAACAGTCCTCCTGGGTCCTCAGCAAGAGGAAATGGTGCACACAGCACCCTCTGCCCCATTATCCCCCTCTTGCCCACAACCCATCCAGCCCACAGCCACGGATAGTTACACACACCCTTCCCTTGTGTGTTCCTTCTCACAAAACCTTATTCTCCATGTGTGACCCATCAACCTCCCAGGGGTTTGAATAGATAACACCCTCAGGAGTTTCTTCTCCCAAGAGGATTGAAAGGCCTTAAACAGCCAAAGATATAAATGCCTAATGGTTGAAGTTCAGGCGCAGTGACCGACATGCTGCACACTTGAGAGATAGCTTATCTCCCTCGTCTTGCCTCCAGCGAGCCTCAGTCTGGAGGGGTCTGAGCTCCTCTCCACCCCCCCCCCATCTCCTGTGTCGACTGGCTAGATACTGGGCTACCGTCTATACTGCCTAGAGCCAGATGGGCTACTGGTGTCGGCTGCAGCTCATTCCCCACCCAGGAGAGAAGGGGAAGCTGATAAAAGCCAAAATACTGGTCCCAGAGCTCCCTCTTCGGATCTTCCCTTACCAACCCTCCTCCCCCTACCCACAGCCGATTCCACTGTTCTTCTAGAAGCAGAACATCAAGAATTAGCTTGCTAAAGTATGCAAGGAAGGGACGGGGTGGGGGGGTCTGACCTCCAGGCAGCCCTCTTTCTTTGTCCCTGGGAAGACCAACATGCTGTGATTAGGGGCTTCCTGGCTCAGTGTCCAACCAAGGCAGATGGACAGACCCCTCTCCTGAGGAGAGGCCTCTGTACCTAGAGGCAGTCCCTGGGCCGGGCAGTGGTGACAGTCACTGCAGTGCCCACGCCTGTCATCCGGCTGCCAGGGGCCTGCCCGTGTTCAGGGACTCATCTCCTGCTTTGTTACTACCTCCTTCCCCTGGGGGTCCCCATTCCTATCCTGTTCCATTGACTCTGGCCCCTTTAGCAGCAAAGCCCATCTGAGAATATTGTTCTTTTTGTTCCTGAAACTCTGCAGACCATCACATGCCTGGACCGATACACACATGCACACACAGACGTAGACCTGTACACGTGTGTGCCACACACACACATACGCACACTCACAAACCCACTGGTACACACATGTACAGGCACATACAGATCCAGGAGTGTTGGGGGGCAAAGCTATATGGGCGTACACAATACCCAGGTGTATCCATAAATATACAGAGGTTTGTTTTTTTTTTTAATCCCTACTTTTTTTTTTTTAAAGATTTTATTTATTCATTTGACAGACAGAGATCACAAGTAGGCAGAGAGCCCGAGGCGGGGCTCGATCCCAGAACCCTGAGATCATGACCTGAGCCGAAGGCAGAGGCTTTAACCCACTGAGCCACCCAGGCGCCCCTACAGAGGTATTTAAAGTGTGCTCAGCACACAGAGGCACACGGACTCGTACAGTTTTGCGTATTTATAGATAGACACTCCCATGTGCGGGGATAGACACAAGCATACAATGATTGACTCTTGTACACACCAAGATGCATATACACACATGTACGTATGCACTCACAAACACACTTGTACACTCTCCCTGCACCCCATGTGGAACTACACCCTTGGGAAATATGTCAGTAGATCACGTAGCTAGCTAGCTAGCTCTGTGCCTTAATCTCTCTCCCTCTGCATCCCCACCCCCCGCCCAACAACGCAGGGCTCTCTGCCCTCCTGATACCCAGCTCAGGCCTGAGCTTCCTGGTTATCAACCCCAGCATCCTGCCTGGAACAAAGAAAGGGAGCAGCGTTCATCCTTGGGGACAGTGAGGTAGGGGAAGGGTCTCTAGAATAGGGACGGGAGCCTCACCACTACCTGATGCTACAATTTTTGTCCCAAGGCCCTCCCACTGGAAGGCAGCTCCCATCTGAGACTGTGTTCTCTCTAGGGAGGTCAGCTGGGGATGGGGGAAAAGGAGAAGGGATTGGGGTGGGGGACACACCTCAGAAAAGAGTGGAGGACCCATCTCAGGAGCCAGGGACTTTAAACTCACCCACAGGGGGCTGGGAGAATAGAAAACAGGGGCCAGTATCTGAGAGGCCAGGAAGACCCAGAGCTAGAGGAACCAGCTGCCCTAGAGGAAGGGACTTCCTCCCTCCCACGTGGTTCCCCAGGTGGGATCTCAGTACACACCATGCGCACAGCAGTTCTTGAACGGGTGCAGTCCCCTCCACGTTGGAAAGCCCTTCCACACTCCCCCCCCGCCATCTTGCACCCCATATGGGAGCCAAACAAAGCAGGAGGGCCAGTGTCCCACTGCGCACCAATGAGGAAGTCCTCCAGCAGTGGAAGTGGAAGAGGCTGGGCAGGGAAGGCCCATGGGGAGCCCACCAGCCCACTGGGTGCCCGGCTGCTCCCTCTGAGCTTCCCTGCCCAGCCCGAGGCTCCACTGGCAGTCCTCCAGCGCAGGCAATAATGAGATGGAGTTGGGGAATGCTGTGGGAAGTCTGGGGTTTTGGCCAGGAGAGGCTGGAGGACAG